GCCGAAACCTCCTCCCTTTCTCCACCCGGGGACCCGCACCCCGCGTCCCGCTGCGCCGGGCACCGCATCTGCCCTCCCGGCCGAGCCCGCAGCGCTGGGCCCCAGGCATGGGGTGCGAGCAGCAAAGCTTACCAAGGCCACTAGAGGAAAAAAACAGATTTTTGCCTAGAAAAATTGAGATTTTTTTGTTTTTCCGAGGCACTGGGTAGCTGGGTCCTGCGGGACAAGTCTGAGGCTGATGGCTCTCGGTGCCCAGGAACTGTGTGATGGAGCACTGGCACATGGACAAGGCTGGAGACAGGTCAGCTTGGTGATGGCTTGTTGGACTCTTCCTCCTGGCAAAGACTGTAAAGTAAGGGCTTTAATGCCCTGTATTTAACAAATGTAACTGCAAGTAATGAGACTGCTAAAATCTCATATTGCTTGGATGCTGGAAGTTTAGGAAAGGAAAACAAAATCCTTGATGCAAAAAAGAGCCTCCTTGTGAAGCCAGAGCCTGGCTCTCTCCTTAGGCATGTCCTAGCCTTGTCCTGGGGGCTCTGTCAGTAATCTGCTCGCAGCTCTTTATGGACATTACCAAAACAAAACGTATTTTTCAGGAAGGTGTTTTAAACGTCAGGGAGGTCAGGGAAAGGGGTCTGCTGTGTGTGTAAGAAATCCCAGTGCAAGACATGGCAATGCTTCCATTTTATTAGGAGTTAGTTTGTATAGGTGAGGGACAGCTTTGTGCTGTCTTCTCCAGGATGGTTGTGCCTTTTAGTTTTGAGCGAAGTTGGAGTGTGGAGAGGGCTTTTGGCACATTCCCCTGTTCTTTATGCGCACATTAGTGTTTCTTTGCCTGGAAGAGACATTAAAAATGCTAGAGGATGCCTTCAGGTCCCTGAGACACAGAAAAGCCTGGCTCAGAGGACAAAGAAAGAAAGAAAAAAAGGAAAATACTGCTTAAATCATCATTTAAGTGTTATTTGCAGGAGGTAAGGCCACATATACTTGACAGGGAGTTCAGGGTTACCATGGACATGCGTTAATTAATTCCAATAATCTCAAGAGCTGGCGCTTCCTGATACCTCCTGGCAGAATAATTCACCTCTGTGCTGTAGGACAGCACTAAGACACCTCTAATGCCTGTCTGGCTGCAGACGATAAAGGTTATGACTTTGTTTTGTAGATTTTTAAAGACAAATGCCTGCCATTGTGTCTTGCTTGGGCTTGGGCCTGCTCCCAGCTTCCCCTCTTGATTGCTTCTGCAGCAAAACTGAGGAAAATAATAAGGCGGCACCTGCAAAAAATTATTGTTATTTTTTTCCCAGCAGTGGACCTAATTACTCTGAATTGTTCCATTTTCACATGGAATCATGATGTTCTCCTCTTTGGAAAGACAAACCCATTTCTCAGGTGCATAGACAAATACTGGTAAAATGATTTTCAAGCTGTTTTGCGTTTTGCAAAAAGCATTTTGCACACTGGTCACAGTGAAGTGACCAAAGGCGACAAGTGAGGCATCACTGCCGCAGGGACCCGCCAGATGCTCTCACTCACAGCAGTTATTCCCAGACTCCTTGCAGGCCTCCAGCTCTTGTCAGACTGGTTGAACACACAAAACTGCAAACAACGCTTCATCCAGCCTCTGAGCTACCTGACTTTCCCCATGGACCAAAGCTTCATAGATGAGGACACTCCATTCATCTCTACCCTGAGGCATTTGGCATCAGGCAGCTTCAAAGTTCTGGTGCCCGGCCCAGATCACCCTGACCGGGAGACCAGATGGCTGTTGTTCCTAATCCCAAAACTTCTTTGCTTGGGAGCATTGCAGGGGAGCTGCAAGGCTCAGGGCTTTGACCCGCAGGAGCAGCACGTTTGCAGTTGCAGCTGCTGAGAGCTTGCACAAATGGGAGTTTGAAGAAGCCCAGGGATGCAGCGCCTGTCAACACAAGGTGGGTGCCAGCACCAGCTTCTCGTCCATTGCTTCGCTTCCCTGACTCCTGGCTGGCTCTGAATGCACCACTGGCTCAGTCTTTTTTCTTTTTTGTATGCCAGACTTTCCTTCTTGTGATCACTGAGGTCTCCCATCCCCTCCGAAGCCATGCTCCGCACCAGGGGGGTGTAGCATCCTTGACGCCACTTTGCTCCCTGCGTAGCTGGCTTTGAAGCCTTCCTCGCTGTCTTTACCCTGCTTTTGGTTCATGGCCAAAGCTCTAATGATGTTGTGTCTGATGAACCTCCCACCCCCATCTGCTGCACAATACAGCCGACAGCTGGTGCTGGGCTGCTGGCTTCCAGCATGGTCATTACTGCCCTGCCATGCCGCTGGGTCATTAGCCATGGCGCCTTCCTTCAGGAGATCCCACTCAGCATGTCTCTGCCTGACTGCATTGTCTTCACCCTTAAAATGTAAAACTAGCATCTGAGCAGGCCAGGAGCAGAATATGAGGCAGCCGCCTGGGTTAATGAAGGAAAGAGGGGACAACCAGGCGAATGGTTCTTATCCGGTCTCTTTTTCCTGGTGATCTGGACTCTGTTCCGTGCTACTGCAGAGTTAGCTGGGAGGCAATGCTCCTAAAAGCTGAATTTAGGTCCACAAGCCCATTCATCCAGGGATAGAAAAGCTGGAATTTGAGCTTCTGTTAGAGATATATCTACTGGTGGCAGATGGGTGTGTGAGCCTGATCACCAAAAATCCCTGCCTCCACCAGGCAAAGTCAAGGGTGAAGCTCCCTTAGCCCCACAGACTGGGGCATCTGGCTACAGATAAGACTCAATCTTCCCAACAGAGATTTTCAAACGACCTAATAGCATTGAGTTGGAAGTAATACCTTCACTTGTCTGACACAGAGTGCTTCCAATGTATAAATATATTCAAAATTACCTAGGGCCCAAGCCAGATGAAATGAGACAAGTCTTGCCAGAGACATCGCTAGCATTTGGACCTGGCCTTCTGCTAAGATGGTGCAATCTGGCACCAGCGCAGATTAAATATAAGGCTCATTCTTAAAAATACCCAGAGCAAATTGTATCCTTTTATATGCAGCGAAGACAGAAAGCAGAGCTCAGCTATAAATTGCTGGGGTGAAAACCCATGCTTTTTCTTCAGCCAGCACACATCTGAGGTCACCTGGAAAAATATTTTTCTGCCTGCGTGCTAGATCTGGGCAGACTTTGAGGACTTTGCCATTTGTCTGAGTTCCTGGACACCCGCCAGCACAGCCCGAGCAATGGCTGCAGCTTGGCAGCTGCAGGTGTGGGGAGATTTTGGCCGTGCGGTCCCTGCTTGTGGGCAGCTTGTGTGCTGTGAGCCGCACACAACAGACCTGTTTCGCAGACGGAGTCCACATGCTCAGAGCAGCGGGTGCAGCATCTGTGTGGGAGGCCAGATTCATGCCAGATGTGCTGGGCTCCCTGCCCACGCTCCACCCAGCTGCATGCAAACAGCTTTCTTTCTAGGAAATCCCAGGCATATGTAGTAGCCCTCGTCTCCACGATACTTAGACTTGCAGGAGGTCCAGATACTCACAGGTTCTGAAAGCACAACAGACACTCGTTGCCATATAGGAGGTTGTCTGTGCCACAAACGGGGTCGAAGATCTTTGTACAACCTTTTCTTAGGTCATAATTGCCACAAGCTGCCTGGAGACACAAAAGGGCAATGCTGAAAATATTAAACAAGCTTCCAATTTACTAAAGGAGCTTTGCATTCACAGGCAGCTGCATATTTTGTATATCTTGGTAACCCATCCCACCCTTGTCCAGAGCTCTGCCAACTGAAACTGAGTTCAGTTTCTGAACTCCCAGAAACCCTGGGACGGGCTGTCACCATGCGGTCCCTTGGCCAGCTGAACTCCGCCTGGCACTGCTGCACACCCTTAGGAGTAACACTCTTGAGTAACTAATGCTCCATGGGCAGCGCCTGATCATGTTCTTCCCAGTTTTTATTTTTATACCACAACAATACCTGCCCTCGCGCTTGCAAGCCGGAGAGTAAGGGGAGCTCTGATCTCTTGGCAGGTAACAGCAGTATTTAGCTCTTTACTAACAGTTTTTCTCCATCGAGTGTGGGGAAATGCAGTGGGAAGCCAGTGCCATCACTGGGATTTTGCTGTGGAGGATGGAAGATGGAAGGAGGTTTCCAGGCACTGGCATCTTTGGTCTGCCAACCCAGCAGCTCACTCCACTGTATTTAGCAACGCTGACTCCCCAGTGTATGGGTTAGTGCTGTCTCACTAAAGATGGGCATACCCTTGGGAGACACAAAAATAGGAGCTTTCACCTCTGTTCCTTTGCCAGCAGCTCCACCCGTCTCAGCGTTTCCTAGAGAAAGAGTGGAGTGAGAGAGAAGATGCCTTAGCACACATCATTCAGGCTGGTTTCAAGGGGGACCTAGTAAAGATGCTTTAGGCTGACAACCGTATGTCTTTGCTCAACTACCTTTGTCCTAAGAAACAATTTCTTCCCTTGGATCTCCCCATTTTGCAGCCAGCTCCCTCTCTGCTGCATCTGCCTCTTTCCACTGGCAGAAACACCGTGATGGTGCAAGACCCTGTCAAGGCCAGATGCACTTCTAGTGACTTTCCCTGCCAGCTACCAGGGAGCAAAGGTGGCTTTCCATATCTCTCGTATCTCTTATCACATGTTCATGGGTAACTGAGAAACTCCTGCTGATGCTGGACCGGTGCTGGAGTAAATCCAGGGTGATTTTTCTGGTGTCAGTGGATTTGTACCACAAGGAAGCAGAGCAAAAGACAAGTTGCTGAAGGTCTCTACTGGAAGGAAAAATGGTTGAACCCTGAGGTCTCACACCAAAGCTGGTGGGAGCAAGCTGTGACTTTGGTGGACTTCTCCATGGAGAAGGTGGCCCTGAGCTGACAGCTGGGATCACAAGGGTGGAACATGCGGTGGGTGTATTTTGAAAAACAACCTGAATTTGTTCGGCAAAAGGCAATACTGAGAAGAAGACCTTGGGTGGTTATAGGTCCAGAAGTCATCTACATGGAGGATGTAGACTACACCTATATTAACAACCGGTATGGCCCCATAGCAGTGGGTCTGTAGAGTGAAATGGTTTGGTGCTGAGGACCTGATAGCCACACTGTGTAATGTTTCAGGGATTTTACTTTGGACTAGCACTGGTCCAGACCCAGGAGCTGTAGCTCACTACATGCTCGGTTCATCTGAACTGAGCCCAGATTTTGTGCCCAAACAGCTCTGTAATGGTAACTGCCTCACAGTAAATAAGATGATGGAGAACTTGTTTCAGAAGCACTTTCCTGTTCTGAATGAACCCACTAACACTGAAAGCCCTGGTGAGCAGGACCTGAAGAGCAGCAACAGCTCATCTTCTCATCCCTCTGCACCATATGGGATTTCAAAAACACAGTTGGCTTAAACATTGGCTTTGGTAGTGAGAGCTGCATTTTCCCTTGAGTAGATGTGTTTCCTGCCTTCTTGGGTTTGCTTTTTTAAAACCGGAATAGCACCTATTCGCTCTAAAAGAATCGCACTGTCCTAGAAATCACCAACTCCAGGCTGAATCCTAGCCCTGAAGGAAGAGCGATGGGAGCAGGTGCCAGGCATCGTTTTAAAGCCTTGCCTTTAGGCTTTGCTCACAGACCACTGGTTTAATGCACGCTGGCTGTTGCAGCATTCTCCGGTATTCCCTGGCCAGGGCCACAGCAAGGTCCCAGCACCAGCTGGCCTGTTCCCAAGCTCACCTACCCACGCGACAGATTTAGCAAGGAGAGGAAATGGCTCCTAAGCAAGACGTTGCACTCACCTTGGTAGCAGCAGAGTGCCAAGGAGAGGAGCAGGAAAACACCAGTTGCCTTCATGGTCAAGGCGATGCTTTACTGGGGACAGCAAAGCAGAAATGGGACAGTTCTCAGGCTTTCAGAGATCCCGTCTCTGGCAATCTACCCTGGCACCTTTATACCTTTCCCCATCTCTGGCACCACCCTGCACGGCCAGCTCCACCTCGCGGTCTTGTGGTGACGTTCAAAGTATGGGGACAACACCAGGTGGCAAATGGCTCATTGGTGTGTGCAAGGATGAAAGCCTCTCCGAAGCCAATGGGGGTAACGATCCCTATCGCTGGTAAGGACTGGAGCGGCATCTCAGGCGTGGGAGACAGCCTTGGGTCTGCACTGCAAGCCGGGAAAAAGCGACTTTATACAAGCAGCAGATTGGAGAAATGGGCAGGACGGCAAGGGAACTGGATGTGTTAGCACCAGTAGTGCGGCTTTGATCGATGACCCTGCCACTGCCACATGCAGGGCTCTGGGAGAAGGCGGCTTTTGTCCACACATGCCTTTCTTGGTGTGATCCGCAGAGCAGCGCTGGGGTGTCGCAGCTCCCCTTCCTGCCCCAGGCATCTAGGGACAGCAGCAAGAATGGCAAGCAGAGTGCTTGGACGTGCTGTGGGCTTGCTGTGACTGCACATCAGTGCCGTTATTTTGACTGCACAGCTCTGATTGCAGGCAGGCAGCTGAAACGAGCTCGTTGGGTCGGATGCTCCTCCTCTCCCCTCTCCCTGCCTGCAGTTTGGAGTAAACCCTGGGGATTTCCTACATTTACTCCACCAATGGTGTGTTGCGGAGAGTGGATCAGTCTCTTGGGTATTAGAAGGATTAATTAATGTTTCTAAAGCACTTTGATATCTCAGCCATAAATCACTGGAGAAGTGCAAAGCAAATTATTACTAATGGGGGCTTATGACTCAAAGATTTTTAATTAGCTGAACAGGAAAAAGTCAATGCCAAGAGCAATTCAAGGAGCTGTTTGCGAGACAGAAATCTCAGCTCAATCAGCAGCTGCTCCACTGTCCAAGGGAGACCCCAGTCCGAATGTGGCTCTGGAGGATGCTTTCCCCTGCCATAAACATCCCTTGTGCGTTTGCTTCGGTCATGATGGAAAGTTTCTGCACTCGTGCCTGGGCTTCCCTCTGCTCTCCCTGGGGCAACCTGCACCATGAGGCTGAAAGAACTGCTCTTCATGGCATCTGTTATTTTATTCACTTGAAGAGTAAAGCTGGCTTTGAGTATGACCCGCTCAGCAGCTGTGAATAGCTGGGATGGGTGTTAGCGGATCTCTGTGAGCAAACAACAGTCCTTTAGCGTGCCTGGGACAAAGTCGTGTGGTGTTATTACCCTCTGAGGAGCAAGGGAGGGAGGTATGATCATTTTTTACAGATGAAAGAGGCTCATCTTGATCCAACACTGTCCCCTGTTATTCCTCCAACACACCTGCCAGGTTCACAGCGTGAGTAATGCCAATAGGTGCCGAGAGGTGCCGAGAGGTGCTTTGGTCTCACTGCCCAAGGCTGGAAGGGGACTTAGCAAGGGCTTTGATGGTTATATGCCAGGGCACCTGGGGAAAAGATTTTCGTCTTCAATCTGTAACACATGTAAATAGAGCAGTGCTGAAAAGAGTTTCTCCGATTACACTTGTTTGGGGTGTGCCCACTCCTGGTAAAACACATTTGCACATTTTTCAGTTTAGAGATCCGTGCTGTAGCCAGGAAATGTGATAGTTTTGATTGTCCAGAAACAGAAACATCTTTCCTCAAATTCCTTGGAAACATCCAGGCACATTTCCAAACTTGAGTTTGATGGGTAAATCCTCAGTGTTTACGAGAGGTGCCCTGCAGATGGGAACTGTGTTGGCTCCTGGGGACACTTCAAGTGTGTGTAACAACACGGTTTTCTCCTCTCCTTCCTCCACAAGCCAGAGGCATCAAAGCAGAGACGGGCTGCTGACTTCCCCTGCCTCATGGGTACTTCTCTCTTCATCCTCTTATTGCTTAGACTCCTGATAGATTTGCACTGACTTAATTTCAGGTTCATAACCCCTCCCAGAGTTGTATGAGGTTAAGAAGGTACTTTACTACTCAAGCAGGTTGAAGAAACTCCAGATTATGCAATTCAATGGACTGAACTTAATTATTCCACGACGAATTGAGCCAAACCAACCGATTCAAGGGCAGTTGCCTCTGCCAAAAGAAGAATGCAACGTAGGCCGCTAATGCTGCTGCTGTCGAGCAGCAGTCACACTAGGTTTTTAATGCAGTTTCTCGGTTAGCAGTTGCCCTTTCTTTCCAAGTGCCTCTACTGACATCTGTGTGTTTATGAGATGCCTTCAGAAATGTGGGATTTCAGGGCTCCTCTCTCCCGATTGACATCTTTTCTATATCCTTAAGGCAAATCAAACAGAAATGCTTGTGGCTTATTTGACTGGGGAGGAATCAAAAAGAGCTGCAAACTGCTATTGCGCTGGGTGCTCCTGGTAGAAGGAGCGGGGAGATGTCTTCAGCAGTGTGGGCTTTCTCAGGATGTGTCACCTTGTCAGAGCAATGTGTTCCTCCAAACACATCAGCTGGAGGAGTAGAGAAAAATGAGTCAGGCGGCTCTGCCAGCCATGCTGTGTGACTTGCCAAGCATGGCGCCCGTCGCGGAGAAACGGAGAGGACAGGCCCCAAAGCAGGTGCCGGTATGGGATGGCTCCCCCTTGGTTGCCTTGCTGGGTGATGGCCGCCACACGCCGTGTGGGACAGAAGACCTCTGCAATTGCTGATGGTGTATTCTCCTGGCTTCTGGAAGGTACTTGGAGGGGAAATCGATGCCACACAAGGAATGTGG